TATATATATATATATATATATATAGTTGAATACATTTTTTTAAGTTGCAACAAATAAATGATTTAATTAGCTTTGTAATTTAGTATTCCCCTTTTAAAAATATATTAATTCTTCAAATAAAACATGTATAATTATCACTTTTATATTGCTACCATTATGTTTTTCTTTGAGTGATGGCTACCAGAAACTCCTTTGATCCTGCAGTACCTGAATGGCATTTGTAACATTCCAAGCAGCTTGCCATTCGTTAATCTTGACACCCACTCCGAACTCTCCACCACCCTCGTCGTACTCGCTAAATTCTCCGCTACTCATGCTTCCAGTTCTAATTTTGTCCCTACAATTAGAATGGCGATATATATTCAACTGAAACCTGAGCAGTATGTGAAGCCAACGCATGGTGATGTATTTTTACCCATTTCTCTGATAACTGAAGGAGTCCTCGGCGATTCCCACGTTGTTTTGATCTCGATATGCCTGATCCCCGTTCATGGTCATCATCTCAGTGTTATCATGACCTTCATTGAAGGATTTGAATTGACTCTGACCAGATCGGCATTGAGAATGGTCCTGACTTGTGCCGCCGGCGCCGCTGCCACGAATTAACTCCATGCACGGACTGTTCTCTGGCCATATGGCCTTCAAAGTCTCCCAAGCGACGTTGACCGTTGCACCAAAAGAAGGTATATAAAATCCACGGAAATTCGCCATTTCTCTCTGTTGCTTCTACAACAATATGTTTAATTTCTTATAGATGTAGTCCCGTACATAAACTAGATATAGTGACTGAAGGAGAGAAGAATAGAATATTTCCTAGTGAGATAAAGTGGAGTGTTAGACTATTCAAATTTAAATTGTTCACATCTTGCAAGTGTTACAAATAGAGGATAAATGATAAGAAAGACATGTAAATTGTAATTAAGGAAACGAAATAGTAACTACGTGTACAAAAGATGCATTTAGACATATCGAGCGGACTCTCTCTCTCTCTCTCTCTCTCTCTCTCTCTCTCTCTCTCTCTCTCTCTCTCTCTCTCTTTTTTGTTACCGCCG